GCGGGCCCGGTCCTCCTCGGCCCCAGTCACCGCCACGAACTCCCTCAGCGCGTCCTGCCGCTCCGCCGCCATCTTCGCTCTGTGCGCCGCCCGAAGCGCTCCGCCCGCCGCCGCACAGCCTCAGCCCCGCAGCCGCGTTCCGCCCACCGGTCGACCCGGCCCAGCCGAGCGGCGCCCGCCCGCAGGCCCCGCCCCATGCGGTGCCTCACGCAAAGTCCTCCGTGCGGGAAACTCCCCCGGCTCCGCGCCCTCTGGCGGCCGCGGCGCGGACTTGCAGCCTAAGGACGGGGTTGGAAGCCCGGCGGAGGATGAGCGGCGGCGGAGAGGATCTCCATGCTTTCGTGGAATAAGAGATCTCCCAAGGAGTCCGATTCACAATTATTCATTGGCTCATCCCTTCCTTTTATTCACTTATGGATTCGTTCATTCACTTGTTTCCGTATTTACCGAGTACCCTGGTGCTCTTCCAGGGTTGGGGATAGGCAGGAGCAAAATAAAGTCCCTGCCCTCTGGTCCACATTCTAGGGAAATAGATCTGGAGCAACAGGTTCTTCTCTGCTCCCAACGCTTCGTGCCACCCCATCTCACTCCGCCTACCAGACACAATCTCATGGCTTGCAAGACCCATGTGAAACGTGCTAGCCTCTCCGTCTCATCGCCCAGGCTTTCCACTAAATTCCTCTGTTTCAGGCACACTCCCTTCTTGCTGCTTTCTCGGTGTGCCAGGCGTGCATTTTCATCAGAGCCTTGCCATCCGCGACTCCCTTTTCCTGGAACGCTTTTCCTTTGCTGGTGTGCAAGGTGCTCTCCCACTTTCTTCAGACTTCTGCGCCGAGGGCACTTTCTGAGACACAATCTCGCGTTTTGGGCCCGCAGCTCCTTTGCCCTCTTGCCTCTTGCCCCCGGGCCTGGGATTCTCTTCTCTTTTCCTTCCCTTTGTCAGCCTCTGCACACCCCTCCTCTTAGTTTAGATATTCCCTCTTCAAGGAGGCCTTTCTACAGCCCTGGGCTCCATCAGACATCCTTGTGCATGCCCTGTGAGGCCATGTCAAGTGTCAGCCTTCCCCAAAGGCCACCATCCCTGTGACAGCAGAGGCTCTGGCTGTCTCCAGCATGATATGGCTTATCAGCATGCACTCTGGACTGAGCCTGGGGTTGAAGCCCAGACATTCCTGCTTGCATGATCTTGGGTATATTACGTTTCCAAGCCTCCGTGTCTTGATAAATGAAGCTCCTTGCAGTAAGTGAAGCTCCTTACAGTCCTTCAGAGGGATGTGTGAGGATCCAGGGTGCACTGCTCAGAGTAATGCTTGACACTTTCTAAGCCCTCTGCTTAGCTGTCATTTTATCTCCTGTGATCTGCAGTTGCTGGCACTAAATAGCCACTTAGTAATCCTTTGCTGAATTAATGAAGGAGTGCATGAATGAAATTCAGGGTCAAGGAGGCAGACCCCTGATGAGTGTTGAGCTGACTGTGGTATGTGATCCAATTCCAGTAAATAAAACTTTTCCTTTTCCATAAAACAGATGCTTTCACGGTGGGGAGAAACGGCCTGAGCCCTCAGACCCATAAACGTGCCTTCCCCAAGTGTAGCGGCTGCAAAGACATTGTCCTCAGTGTTCATCATGGTTGAGACTAGGCTCTCCCAGACAAGCCGGGTGGCCAGGCCAGGCCTCTGCCCTCTCTGGGCTTCAGGGCCTACTTTAAATTTTTTTTTTTTCTTCAACGTTTATTTATTTTTGGGACAGAGAGAGACAGAGCATGAACGGGGGAGGGGCAGAGAAAGAGGGAGACACAGAATCGGAAACAGGCTCCAGGCTCTGAGCCATCAGCCCAGAGCCTGACGCGGGGCTCGAACCCACGGACCGCGAGATCGTGACCTGGCTGAAGTCGGACGCTTAACCGACTGCGCCCCCCAGGCGCCCCCAGGGCCTACTTTTAAAGAGGGGGTACGGGAGCTGGGCCGGCCTGGCATTCAAAGCCTTCTCTGACCCACCTCGCCCCCTTTTAAAAATTTTATTTATTTATTTTGAGAGAGAGAGAGAGAGAGAGAGAGAGACAGAGCATAAGTGGGGGAGGGCCAGAGAGAGAGAGATACAGAATCCGAAGCAGGCTCCAGGCTCTAAGCTTTCAGTACAGAGCCGGCTGTGGGGCTCGAACTCATGGACCATGAAATAGTGACCTGAGCTGAAGTCGGATGCTGACCGAGCCACCCAGGTGCCTTACCCCTTTTTCATAAAAAATATTTCCTATTGCCCCTTTATACCTTCAATGGAATTCATAGATAATAAAACTGACCTATACATATTGAAAAAATCAACATCATACCCTAACTGGAGAGAGAAAGAGGAAGTAATTTGGAATAAAATGATCTGTATTTCAATTCTCAGGTATAAATGAACCAGTTAGGTGCTTGACTCCACGTACAGGGCTGTTTTATGTGTAATTAAAATATTGTAAATGTGTTGCTTACAAAGTAAGTGGGTGAAAATAAAGTTATTTTTGAAAAATGTTTATTTATTTATTTTGAGAGAGACCGAGCCTGAGCAGGGGAAGGGCAGAGGGAGAGAATCCCAAGCAGGGTGCATACTGTCAGCACAGAGCCCGACGCGGGGCTCGAACTCACAGACCGAGAGATCATGACCTGAGCTGAAGTCGGACGCTTAACCGACGGAGCCACCCAGGTGCCCCAAGTTCAGGTTATTAAAAGCAGGTTTTCAGGGGCACCTGG